AGGACTGCGGACGTTCAAAGCGTGGCCGGCCTCCATTGCTGTCGCGAACCAGCGGAGGGAGAGAGGGACGCGCGCGGGAGAGAGAGAGAAAATGACGGGGGCAATTCCGTCTTTTAACCAAAAATCCATTTTCCAAAAATTTACGATTATGCCACTGAGCTTCTTTTGATCATAACTCTCTCGTTACAACTCCGATTCGAGCCCACTACGTGTCTACGAACTCATCTCACCGTGCTCTACGCAACGGTACAACCGAAATTCCCAAATTCCTTCCGGGTAAGAAAATGACTAAAATACCCCTATCCCACGGGTAATTTCTCAATTCCACTTAAATTAATTATAAACATGGGATAAATTTGGGGTCGGGGTGTTACAAGAAGCACTTGGCTCCATTTAATGAAACTTTTAAAATGCCAAAAATACCCATATTTAAATTTTTTTTTAAAGCCAAAATACTACTTTTTTTTTATATAAAAAAAAAATTACAAAGAGCTGTTTGTGTGCATCGCTTGGCCGCCATGGATGATCGTTTTTAAAATTCACTCGTTTGTTAACTATGTTTCAGCTTTCATGGTCTTGTTGGATGTTGGTTTCAGCTCAACTAGTTTTGCTTTCCATAAATTCAGACGTTGATGATGTATGCCATCAAAGTGTTATTTCCTTGTAATTCATGTAGAAGGGTGGGGTGATAAGCCGACTTTTTTGCCTTCCTACTTCAAGTCTCTGTTGTGACCAAAGTTACTGTGTAATCTTGAACCAATTTTTGACTAAATATAAAGTACTATTACATGTACAACTTCTTGTCTTTTCCTTCATCTTTAACATTTTGATTGATTTTGTAAATTTTTAGAGTTTGGATGAAGATGAAAAACTATTGAGCATAGGTTGCAAATTATGATATGAATTCACCAATAATATTTGCAAGAGCAATTTCCATTTACAAACCGACGGAATCTGTAATTATCCCTGATAACAATTTCTCTGTTGTAGGTCTGCGATATTAGTTTCATGACTGAATGACAATCTCTACAAATCTACAGATTATTAACTACACAGATAGGAGTTCTTGGGGGGTTGTTTAAAAGACCAAAAGCAACAACCAATCTTTCACTATGATGAGATGATGTTTCTACTAGGTTCTGTTTTTGCAATCTACCCTTTATTTCATCCAACATAGCATATATTTTAGCAGATTGAGGGTTTGAGAAATCCCAAGCTGTAAATTCATGAACAACTCCATTTTGTTCTATTAGACTACATCCTGGTTGCTTCATCACTCTTAGTTCATGCAACTTCTTTCTTGCCCAGCTCACATCATCCCACTTACCGGCTTTTGCATATATATTTGAAATAAGAGCATAAGCAGCATCATTTAGAGGGTCTATCTTTATGAGTTGTTGAAGTACTTTTTCTGCTAATTCTATATTCTGATGGCTTCCACATGCTCTCAACAAGGAACTCCATATAGAGATATCTGGTTTGATAGGCATGCTTTCAATAAACTTCACTGCCTGGTCTAAGTGTCCGGCTCGACCTAGGAGATCAACCATACACCCATGGTGCTAGATCTTAGGAACAATACTGTAGACACTACCATATAGAGATATCTGGTTTTTATTTCCTATGTTTATTATAATGTTTTGGAATTCTTTAAATTTTTTTTAAAGTACTTTTAAAAACACTTTTACTGTGTTTCCCAAACATTTAACAACATATCAAAAACGCTTTTATGTAGTGTAAAAACACTTTTAAATGTGACATCTAAACGACAAACTGCTTCTTTGTAGAAGCACTTATATCATAAGCGCTTCGGGAATAAGCACTCCCAAACGAGCCCTAAGTCTGTATCAGGGCTCTACTCTGATACCATGTTAAATTTCAAAGAGACAGGTATACTGCCCACTACAAGCAACATTAATATTGTCTCCAACTTAACAACCTATAAAGCCCAGTAAATGTAGGGTTTTATCACAAAAGATCTCGGTGTTATTTAGATTAAAATCACTTATTACAAATTGTAGTTTATTTAATCAAGTTTCCGACGTGAGACTTTATATTCTTCAACAATTCTACCTTACACGCAACCCAATGCCCATCGTCAATTTCATGTTGTTGCTTTGAGTTTGTCACTGCCTTCTCCTTGACAAGATCGAGCAAAGGACCAATCATGGTCCTTACACATTTGGGGTGTGAAATGCCGCTACATCATAGAGAAGAAAAGAGGGAAAAAGTGCAGAGGGAGAGATGGTAGACATTTGTTTAATTTGCCATAATAAAAAAAAAATTCAAAGGTAGGAGGGAGTAAGGGAGAACGCATAGGGAAGAGAGAGATAGTAAAGAGAGGGAGAGAGGGCTGCGGGGAGAGAGAATAGATTCAACTAAGGGTCAGTTTGGCATTGTTGTGCTGTGAAAATAATTATTGTCAGATTTGTTGTAAGAGAAATCAGCTGTGAGAGAAAATAGTTTGACGTTTGGTAAACTTTTTTTTTATAAGTGCTATTTGTACAATAATCAGTGTATGAGTGTTTGGTAAATTTTTTGTGAAAATGCTGTGATTTGTGTATAATGACTAAAAAGGGCATTATTGCTTTCTCCCACAACAATTTTTAATAATAAGTGATTTTATCATAGGTTATCAAACAGGCTGGACTTCCCAATTTTTTTTAAAAATAACTTATTACCCCAAATAAGCAATGTCAAACGAGTACTAATGCACTACAACATTTCAATTAACATGCACTGAGAAGAGAAAAGCCCACATATGAGTAATTGAATCTGTCCAAGCAAATTGCGGCTCTTACATAGCATCCACAGAAAGTATCGAAGAGGCATGGTTTGATCGAGTTGGAGGGAAAGCTTGAGACGGAGGGGAGGGGGAGCGGCTAGTTTTTCCAAAAAGAACTTTTGTTTTTATGGATTTTAAGTTTTAAAATATATTTTTTTAATGTCTCGTGGCTCTATATCATTGGATGTGTGGACTCCGTATATGTGTCATGTCAATAACTTAACAGCAAAATTTGACGGAAGCTAACGACAAGGACCAAATTGATGCATAGATAGTAACTTTAAGGACCATTAATATCTATAAAATAAATAAATAAATAAAGGCGAAATGTGATAATTTCGCAAACCTCATTAACTATTTATAATAAAAAATCTTAGATTAATTAAAATATTTATTTTGACGGTTGGTTTTGTTTTAGTTGAAAACCATATGGAATTTTCTGGGTCGGATGATGTTATCGTTGGGTTTAATTGCCAAAAGTTTCAGCCCAAACATTAACATTTTACTATTAAATAATTCTAAATTACCAATACGCGGAACTCTATTGACACCAAATTAATCTTTGGACACCCCAACTTTACAACACACCCAAATTCAAAATTCGAAATTTAGACCTTTTTTCTCTAAACACCCATTATAGAGACAGGGAGCTTCTACAATGAGGAGCTAAAGTGAGGAGATCGATCCGACCGTTAAAATATTTAAAATATTTAAGTCCCATGATTTTTTTACATTTATTGATGGTGAGATTTGACTTCCTCAAATAACCTCATCACTTTAAGCCCTCATTATAGTCTTTCCTACAGAGACATAGTAGGCTTCTACTGTTAGATCCCCCGACCCAATTCTCAAAGTAGTAATGGGCTTATCCCGACCCAAGTTCGCTTTATCATGGAAAGGGCCTTTTCGTAAAACAGCATTCATACATTAAGAAGGCTCAAGCTCTTCACTCCACACCACCTCAAAAGCAAAACCCTAGTGCCTCTGGTCTCCCAAGTCATCAGCCAGCCGCCCCATCTGTGCTCGCAGGTAAACCCATTTTCCACCCAACTCTAAAAATGTATGAATTGTTTCACAGCTTCCCAATAGCCAAAGCCATGATTTTTGACTCTGAATTTTTGTGTCTTTTATGCACTTGCAGATCTACCAGTTGTTGATTTTGTGTTCAGCTTGCACTAGCAGAAATGGTGCGCGTCAGCGTTTTGAATGACGCTCTGAAGAGCATGTACAACGCCGAGAAGAGGGGGAAGCGACAAGTCATGATCAGGCCATCATCGAAGGTCATCATCAAGTTCCTTTTGGTTATGCAAAAGCACGGTTCGTATTTTCTAAATTCATGGATGTTTTGTGATTGTATGTTTTGTATTCGGTACAATTTGTGTGATGAGATTGTTGGGTTTGAAATTGTTTAGGTTATATTGGCGAGTTTGAGTATGTTGATGACCACAGAGCTGGAAAGATTGTGGTTGAACTCAATGGGAGGCTGAACAAGTGTGGAGTTATCAGTCCTCGATTCGATGTCGGTGTTAAGGAGATCGAAGGCTGGACTGCTAGGCTTCTGCCTTCTAGACAGGTTTATTTTCCTGACTTCATCGCTATATGTTGGTCTATGAGAGTGTTTGGGGTCATTATGTATGGGTTGCCCAGATAAAACTTTTATCATTTGAATTTGGTGTTGCAAGTGGTTATGAAGCATACCTGTTCTAGTTTTTTGCTCATAAATTGAATAAATATTTGCAGTTTGGATACATTGTGCTGACAACATCTGCTGGTATCATGGATCATGAAGAAGCTAGGAGAAAGAATGTTGGTGGCAAAGTCCTTGGTTTCTTTTATTGAGCAGAGTCTCAAGCACATCGTTAGGATCTTTTGTGAAATTTTGGTTTTATTTAATTTGTTTTGCCAAAAGAAGAGAACCCTTTTTCTTACCAATGCTGGTTTGAAAAGTTTCTTGTACTAGGATATTAGTTCTATGTTTTGTTTTGTTTTGATTGACTGTCATGTTCTTGCAACCGTGAATGTTAAAGTGACTTGGTATTGAGCAGAAATGGTAACTTGGAAAGTTTTGTTCGACCTCTTGTTCCCATGTGTTGAGTAGTTTCATTTGCCCCCAACTTACATGTGACCATTTCTTGTGGTATCGTGAGATTAATTTCATGTTATAGCTTGGTTTATATTAGTAATAGTAACCTACAATTTAAGCTTATATTGAACTGTTTGTATTTGTGTAATGGACAACAGTGTTTTACAGAGCAAGTTTCTTTTGGTTCGGCGTATGTTGATAGCAGAGAGTCCAATAGTGATGAACTGATGCCTAGAACCCTAATATTATTTTTGGTGTACATGCTTCACCATTGTTTTCTGTTCTAGCGTAGCTTAAGGAAACAGCTTAAAGGACTTTACTTTTTTCATTTGAATGTTGTTTTGGAGCCTAGCATTGGACTGATTATGCCATTGTAGGTGTTGAAACTATTTCAAACCAGTGATCTCAGGAAGTGAATTAGTTGAGTGATTTGAATGATTAAGGGATGTGCTTAGGACTTTGGATAAATGTTTTTTAGCAGTGTTGTTCAGCTTCTAATATCAAGGCCCTTAAGCATAGGATTGTGGAAGCTTGATTTTATCTCGTCACGTCTATAATTGGGCTTTCATGATCTGATACTTGTATGAGGTTTCCTTGCATGTATCTTTTACTTTGTCAACTTCAGAAGTATTATTTCGCTATGTAATTGTGAGCTGACATTAGCATTTGATGTAGACTGCAGTGGGACTAGTTATAGTTCCCGCAAGGTTTTTAAATTTTTAACTCATGTACTGCGGTGGGGCAAATGATCACATTTAGAACTGGATGTGGAAGCTCAACCAAAATTATTGGTATGAACTTTGTGCTGCTTCGATCAGCATACAGAGCTAATCCTGTGCCTAAAAGTCAGTGCTTTGTGCTTGCATCCACAATGAACCACTCCGTGTTTGTTGAAATTTATTCACTTGATTGCACTTACAAACCAACTCCAGGCCTACAAAAGCAATGAGCCTACAGGGCATGAAAAAAAATGTTCATTTTGCTATACTGTGATGAGGCTCCTGGCAAAGAAATGTAATTGCATTACCACCTACCTTCGGTACAATAAAAGAGCGAACCGTGTTATATATCGTAACTGGGGCAGATCAGTATCACAAGAACTTAGGTCGGATAGGTCGGAAAGATGATTTCTTCTTATGTTAGTCAGAAACCTGAAAAACCAGTGCTATTAGGCACACTTGATTTGCGGATGATTGCACATATTCGAGATTTGTGAGTTTTGTGGATGTTGTGCATATCTGACGTTTAGGTGTTTACGGCAAAAAGAAGAAGACATTTAGGTGTTCATTGGGTTTTCCTCATTACACAAATCAATGGCTTAAACCCTACGGAAGGGAAGATCTAGAAAGTCCACAAAGAATTTGCGGAATCTATTTCGTTTTCATATTTCCACATTTCCATATTCATCGTGAAGCCCTTTTCATAAGTGATCCAGCCATCGCAATCTGTAACCACAACTTTATCCGCTTTTGCATGAACCTAACCTATTTGTCTTCGCCTGTGTGTCCACCAATAATACACAACATACACGTTGTACAGGGAATCATTTTCATATAAATACAGAATTATCATAGAATTAAAATCACTTAATTATGATAAATCACAGGGAATAATATTTTATTTTTTTGGTTTTAAAAAAAGATAGCCAAGTGATGAATTGCATTAAGCTTCAGGCTGTTCATGAACTCATTACTGAAATGCATATGGTATAAAGCAAGAAAATTTCTCAAACTCACCATAACATATATAGCTTTGAACATTAATGTTTCTTCATCCAAAGCTTCGACAACATGAAGAAAGGAAATTAAAGCTTGTGTAACTATAAAACTACCTTATAATTAAACTGAGGTTAATTTGTTGAGCCATAATAAGCGTCTCATCCTAGATGCTCTGCCAAAGAGTACTTAGTTGCCCAATACAATGACCAAACATGTTCCACAACTTTCAACGGCCATGATTTATATGCTCCTCGTCCTCCTCATCGTCACCGCTGATCTCGCCGTTGCATATCCTCGTTACCATCGGAACTTTGGTGGGGAGAGCAGCAATGGACACCTAGATGGAGGCCATGGATGAAGGAATGAGTGAAGGAGGTTTTGTGAGCTTTAAAGGGAATTAGAGGAATAGGTTCTGGTTTGTGGTAAGAGTATCTTCCAAGCATATGCTTTAAGCATTAACTTGTTGCTGGCCCATTCTTTTCCAACTTTAGCTATTTTTATGGGAACATGGATGTAAATAAAGTTGTAGAGGTTCTTGCAATTTGCCCTTGTCCCAATTTTCTATTATCTTTTGCTTTGGCACTTTGCTTTGGACTATACTGTTCTCCCTCCTCCACGAGGGCAACTAAAAGTTTTGCCTAATAAACTTTGGAACAACCTCAGCAACCCCCTTTGCTTATCATGAACAATTATTATAAAAATGAAATGAAGAAGGCTCAAAGGGGTTGTAAAAGTAATTGTGTATATGTAGGCTTGGCTTGGATGGCATTGAAGTGGAATAAGTGAGGGAAAAACCCTAGCTCTTTCTTTGTGCTTATTATTGGTACTTCGTATAACTGAAGTGACTGTAAGCAGAACTCCAACACCTGGTGACAAAGAGAGAGAGAGAGAGAGCCAATGTAGTGAATTTTAAGCAAGCTGAAAAAAATACTCTCACTACATATGTCCGAAATAGTAGCTTAAATTAAAGTCATGTTAAAATGTCACGTTGAATTTGTAAGGAGTCATCAATTGGTAAAGAGAGAATTAAACCACACACATTAGAATTGAGACGTTCGGTTAAAATTTCATAATAAACTTATAAATATTTGACTTTTCTTGCAAGCATAAGCCATGTGACGCTAGCAAGGTACCATCATGAGAGGGGCTTGCACACACTGTATCAATCCACTATCTAATTTCCCAACTCCTTTCTGTTTAGACATGGTTTTGTTGTTTGTCAGATATATCACTCAGCTTGACACTGTCTCCTTCAACTGGTTTATACAATAAGCAGATATATCCAGGCTTTGATACCATGCAATGGGTAAAAAAGTTACTAATTCACCTCAAGAAGTATGAATATAATCTTTCAATGAGAAGAACTATCACTAAATAAGATAGATTCTGTCAGTAAAAGATTGATCTTAATTAACAGGGAAAATTACAGCAGTCATCGTGCTGTTGTTAGGTATGGGTGTGTTGCTCCTTCCATTACCCTAGCTAGTCAAACTAATCAACCCAATAATGATTCTTTTACATCAAACTGAACCAATCATGGATTTGATTAATTTTGATTTGTTGTTTGTCTTGTCTATGGCCAGGCAGATAGTTGGTATGGCTTCTCAGCTGCTGCTTCACAAGCATGTGAGGCATATAATTTTGTACTAATTGGTACAAAATGGGTATTAGGGCAGAGTTAGTACCTTTTATTACAAAAATGCACCTGTCATGGTTTATACAAATAAAGTGACACCATTCTCTCTATATCTCTCCAATCATATTTCATTTAAGAGGCACCTTGAGTTTCTCCAACACAAACATTAGATTTCCATATAAAACTACCACTAACTCACTCCTCTCTCTGTCTAAAGTGGACTGCTTCCTTGATTGGAATCTCTCTTGCAGATGAAAAGAATTCTCCAGAAAGCCTAAAGTCCTTCTTTTAAAGAACTTTGGTGCAAACTTGCAGTGTTAGGAGTTGCTGCATTTTTTCTTTTATCTCCCAGTTAATGTTCCTGGCCTAAAACTGCAGAAAAATTGTGTGAAACGGATATAGCCATCCCCGTTCCACATAAGTGTTTCTCCTAAAAATGGAAGCATTAAGCCTAAGCCTGTAGCAACCCAGTTTTTACGTTCTTCTTTTTACCCTAGTTTCGTGAAAGATTGCTGAAGATAAGTTCCACAAAAGCTAGTGTTGTTCTTCCCTTTAGGAAATATTAACATTGATGCGTACCGGTAATGGTAGACAATCAAAGATAAGAAAAATGAATCTTGAAGATTCTCAAAGGCCCACCACATTATATACCTAGGAGAAATTTATGTGCAGGCTGCTGAGGGTAGCAAGATTCACATTGTTTATGCAGATCTCTGCAGAAAATATCTAAACATACATTGAGTGGAAAGATGAGGACAAGGGAGCAGCAACTTGAACTAGAAAATTGAGAAATATGAAAAGGGGAAAACCCATCTAGAAATAGAAACTTAAGTCCTTTGACCAAGCTTCTTGTTGTTTTTAGCAGCCAATAATTGTATCTTATTATAATTGATGTCAAGAGGAATCCATCTATATGCGTTCGAGAGGAATGCTCAGGACAGTCGTTCACGACGCGCGTGTAAGTAATTTTTAACTGCAGTTCTATGTGAACAATTGTTCCTAGCATAACTCATGTGTTCAAAGACTTACCAATTAAGCAAGTGTGCAAGATTTATCTGGAAAAAGGGTCGAGAAAGAAAGAATCATCCTTTCTTTGTGACATTCATCAATCAAAACAAGAAAAACAGATAACAAACAGGCAAGCAAAAGGAACTGGTCTGTTTTATTTAACTCATTGGATTTGGCCAAGACAATGTCTTTGGCTTTGAGCGGTCAAAGTCACCATTGGGGCATTGGGCGTTGGGCATTGTCGCAACCTCACCACTAGGAATCTAGAAGAAGCCAATGCTATTTTGTCCCCAAAACCAGCAAAGGAGAATGTGGGCCCCTGCAGCCCACCCACACACCTTATCATTGAATATTTGATTAACTCACACCCAACATTGGTTATGCATACAATACATTGGGAAATGTGCTGTGTTTACGCGGTTGGGTTCTGCTACTGCTAACCGTGGAACCAGCAGTCATTTGACATTTTCCTTGCTTCCATACACAACCGACCAGACCTGTTGCAACTTGCAAGATGTAAATAACTAAAAGATCTTTGCATATCATATTCATAATTTCAAAGGATCAAAATGTCCATTTTAGAATATTTATGCCCAATGCCAAGGAGTTGTCGAGATAACTACAGAAA